TCTCTTGATTTGATTGATAGGAGTATTTTCCGTATCTCAGGGATGAGTCATTCGTGCTGCATGTGTTGGGTGTAGACTCCATGATCAAAGATTCAGTAATCAATCTCTCTCTCTCCACCTACCTATATTACTTCTTACAATTTTAACCCTCATCCACCATGCTATTGTGTGGTTGTGTGTTAATGCATGCAGTGCAGTATAGTGCTGAGCTTTTTTCTAAATTACTTATTTTCTCGGGGTCAACCATTCTTACCTTAACTAAATTCTTATGTTCCGGCAGTCTGACTACCCCCGACCTGCCAGTTTGACCTATGTAGTTCACTTCACTCACAATCATTGCAAGGTATTTTGTAAATTATTTTATTTTGTCTAATTGAGTCAGCTGACAAGGTCCTTTAGCCTACAGAGCTTGTCGCTGAGTGAATTTGTAGGTTTAAATGCCACTCTAGTTCCTGCTTTATTGAGAATCCTACGTAGGATCTCAGATGCCCCCTCCCTCCTTATACGGTATAACTGTAGATGCCTTATATTCTCTCTTATTTAAGTTATCATTATTAGTTTCACCATTACCTTTCATTTTACTTTTGAGCTTTCCTGATATTCCTAATGAATTTTATAGGATAGTTACTTAACACCAACGCTTCCTCTATCTGTTTTGTTTCATCATTTAGGTCTTTTTTTGTACTACTTAGTGTTACTGCTCGGTTTGTTAGAAACTTAAGTAAGCCTGCCTTAACAGTTAACGGATGACACGAATTAAAGTCTAAATATCTATTAGAATGCGTTGGTTTTTTATGAAGACTAGTGTGTAGTTTACCTTCTTCTATTCGTTTTATTTTACAGTCTAACACAGCTAATGCTCCTTGTTCATTTTCTGATTCAAATGTGAATTTTATTCTCCCTACTAGTGAGTTTATAGGTGGGAAGAAGCTAGAGATATGCTCTGTTTCTAACACTGTGAAAGTGTCATCTACATATCTCCACCATAATTTTGGAGTAGGATTAAATGTATTAACAGCAATATTTTCCCAGCTATCCATAAGCGTGTCTGATACGATTGGGGATATTGGTGATCCTATTGCTACACCTCCTGTTTGTTTATATATTTGCCCTGGAATTTAAAGATAGTAAACGTGAGGCATAATTGAATTCCTGAAAGGATTTCCTCAATGGGTAGCTTTGTCCTATGATTAAGTTCAGGATCAGAAGTTAGTTCCTTCTTAACTGCTTCTAATGCCATATTACTGTATAACACTGTCAGACTTTATCAAAATAAATTTTATCCACAATAGAATTATACTCTACCACAGCGTACAAGTTCTACTCTTATATAACAGCAATAACCCAGTCACTCACAAAAGCAGCTGTAAGCAGACATTGTTTAAAACAGTTCAAACACACTGTAACACTCCAATGGTGAAGAGAGAATGGAAAAAAGATACCCACTAACTGTCTTCAAAAAGAATGAAAACCCACTTACCCATACAATCTCATCAAAAAGTGTTTAAACTCAGTTCGTAACACACCAACAAGAAACCATCGTCAAATACCACCAAAAAAATTCACTGAAATAACAGCTAGAATATTAAGACCTTTTGAAATAGATATGGCATATAAGCCAACATAAATCACATCATTCGATACTATGCTAGCCGAAACATCCAACAACCAAACAAGATAGAATTAATAGCATTTACAAGATAAATTGTATGAACAGCAATAAACAATACACCGGTTGAAATGGGCATCCCCTTCGAATCCGAATCGAAGAACACGTGTTAGGTGTAAAAAGACACGACATATTGTATTCTTTCACATCGATGCATGTAGACGATTAACGATTCTCAAATTTGATGATTGAGAGAATGTACAAAGTTCAAACAGAGGAAACACTAAGAGCAATTAACAATTTACCAACTAATAAAGAATAAATCACGTGAAAACAAAATTCAAATTCCAGGTCAATAAAAGTAATTATTATTGTTTCCTTGAGTTCCTAGTGGGATATGGGGCTTCAACTCCACGTCTCCACTTGCTGCTGTCTTCTGCTATACTTTTCACCTGCATCCATGTTAATCCATACTGTTTCAGTTCCTGTTCACACGATCTCCTCCATGTCACCCTTCGACATCCCACTCGCCGCTTCCCTCTCGGGTTCCACTCGAGCAATGGCCTGACGCGCGATGTCACCCAGCGGCCTCCTCAGTGAGTGTCCAATTCATCGACACTTTCTCCTGCATATTTGTTGGGCGATTGGTTCTTGTTTTGTTTCTTCCCATAGTTTCTTGTTGGTTCTCGTTCTTTCCGGCCATCTGATCTTCAGTATAGAACGAAGACAGTTGTTGATAAAGGTCTGCAACAGGTTGTTGGAAATATTCTTTGTGACCCGCCAAGTTTCTGATCCGTATAGAAGAACTGACTTGACGTTTATATTGAAAATCCAAATTTTGTTGTTGAAGCTAAGTGACGAAGATTTCCAGATTGGTCAACAAAAGTGATCCGTGTTAATTGCCAACTAATTATAACAATGGCTCTCAGGAGATACAATTATATCATCATTCATGGAGAATTCGTGCGTCGGTGGCACAGCGGTTAGGACGCTCGCCAACCATGCACATGGTCCGGGTTTCGATCCCCCAGCCGATGCACTCTTGTACCTCGCTAAGCCAGAAATAAAAGCTGGTAAAGAGGAAGGGGGTTGGGCATGAGGCTAGCAACCCCATCCTGTAAAATAAACACTGCTACAGAAACTTCAAGCCACCAGCTTGAAGCCCAATGTTCCACTGGGGAACGTGAAAGAATTTCTTTAAAAAAATGGAGAATTCAAATACTTTTATTTTATACTAAAACTGGCGCTGAAGATTTTGTCTAGAACGAGGACAATGGAAGCTTTGCAACTAAATCAACCAGTTCCTCAAAGAACACAATTAAATCAAAATCATCCACCTGTGCTACAAATCTTCTCCATTATTATTTCAAATGACTTCATCTTGGAACTTCGGATTGGTTTCCTGGCTTCCGTCGTTTTCAGTGCACACAGAGTGAAGAGGAAGTGAAGAGCCATCAAGTAGAGGAGTTGCATTAGTAGAAGGAAGGCAAGATAATAGAGATGAAGATGAAGACAAAGATGAGTGAAGACTAGAGAGCTTTCGCGTGCATTTCGGATTGTTACTTAACGGCTGCCCACACCGTGGAAGTTGGTTGCGTGACCTCAGAGCCCAGGGGACAACTGCTTGAGGCCGGTCACACACGGCCTGTTTTTGTTTGTTCCTTTTCATTTGGTGTGTCTCAGTAGCATATTTATAACTTCTGCCCTATGACACAGCAGCAGGAAGCGCAGTCGTTGTTAATCCGGGCCCCGACCGATCCAGCATGATATTTTGTGATTTGCTTTGAGTCATAGCATTGGGTTGGGTAACTGCTTATTGTCTAACCGCTATCCAAACAACCTTTCTGGAATGGTAGGACCTCAAGCGACATATAGCTTGTTGGGTCATTGCGGTGTTCAAGCCCGACCACCACGTCAAGGTAGCAGCTTGGAACACCCAGCTCGGTTGGCTACGAATGTCATCCCAGCGACACCTATAAGATTCATCGCTTCCTAGCCCTGGGACAAGGTGGATAAGGATCAGGGACGGTGGTCAGCTCATGACATCGCACTATAGGATGGAGGATAGTTGCGTCAAGATAGCATCTATTCGATGCATCATGATTCCCTAGATGGGATGCGAGAGATAATTTGAATCAGTAGCTCCATCTGAAAGCAACATGATGCAATGAACCCTTCTTTGAATGCTCTTAATAAATATGCTTACTTGTTCCCTTAATACTGTACCTCATTTCTGTAATAATAATAATAATAATAATAATAATAATAATAATAATAATTTGCTTTATTCCAAAACAGTACTTGTAAATACAGAATGGAATTCTCAGCATTTTTACTACAGTATTGCATCCAGTTAATACATTGTCAGTAAATAAAATTCTACATAGATTGAGGAAACCAACAGTTTATTATGACAACAACACATTGGCATGTCGGTAGCAAAGCCAAAGTTGAACAGTGTTTGAAGGTGTTAGAAAAGTAGGTGCTATCATATTAACTGGAGTAAGCGGAAGAAAGAAACAAAGCAGCACATAACGGAAAAAAGAGAGAGAGAGAGAAAAGGAAAAGAAAGAAAGAAAACGTTGTACCTATAAATGATATGAGTTGGAAAGACGAGGTCCAGTTGTACTACTGACTATTTAATGAATTATAGGTGTCACGCCTAATGCTTTCTTTACCGCACAGAACACGAGCTAAGTAGGGTATGGTTGAGTTTTTGTACTTGCTGGTGCGAGCATATAGTTTTCCATATAGGCTTCTGGTTTTGCCTGATGAGATACAAGGGGAGAGTTGTGAATGAAGGAGGTGTGTTGTGAATTAGATAGAGTGGATTTAGCCCATTTTCACATGAGTCCATGTGCCTGTCGACCAGAATATTAACAAACTGGTTAAGTGGCACATTGCTTACCCTGCTAACAACATTTAACATCCTGCATAATATGATGTTATAGTCTTTCTTCAGTAGCCCAGGAAAAACTAAGGGGGAACAATAGAGAATAATAGGCAGAATGCAAGAATTAACGAATTGTAGGAGTAAGGGTTGGGGGGTTATACCAGAGTGTTTTGACTTCTTGATGTAGAAGATAAGACGGAATATTTTCTTAGAAATCGCTAAGATATGAGACGACCAGAAAAGATCAGCAGATAGAATGACGCCTAGGTATTTAATTTCCGATTTGGTTTCTATTTCAGTGTTGCACAATGTTGTATACCTCGTGAGAGCCAACCAGTTTGTAAGCAGCCTCTCTTGGTATACTCACTCACTCACCCCATATACTGTACCAATTTCATGATAAAATAATCAAAACAGACATGAAGAAACACAGTAAGGCTATCACCCCAACGAGACTAACATTGAAAACACTTCTAACAGAAAATTTTGTAAACTTACTTCTCAATCACTTCTCGATCATTTATATCTGCTTTAAATAGTTTTGCTGAACAATTTGAAGTTGTTGTCGTCAGTGTAGTAAGTGAAGTGTTCAACACTTTATCGGTTAATTTATTATTATCTGTTATAGAAGAAGAAGAAGAATTGCAGTGTAATTCTTTATCGGAAATCGATCGACACGGATAATGATGATGATTAGGATGATAATACAGTTTCACTTGTTTTGTCGGCAAAAATGACAATTTTGTAACAGGCACTGAAGGTTTATAAATTGTCTGAAAAACCAAGAAAGAATAAAAAAGAAAAAATAAACATGATGCATTACTATTATTATTTTTTTTTAATGTATAGAATCTCAATTGAATTATTGTATTTAATTGAATTTTAGATTTTCCCGTCGATTGATTGATTGACCGAAGTGCTCGCAATCCGGTTGACATTCCGGCTTCTTGTGCAGATGCTTCAGCGATGTCTAGGCATTGAATTACAATTTAATTGGTGGATGGTGAGTAGAAGTGGAATCCAGGACAACACGCATTTCGTCCTATTTGGGACTCGTCACTGGACGAACCTGCATTCCCCAGTGAGCGAGTGATGATGTTTCCACCGAGGCTCCAACCCAGTGCGCATAGTTTCGAACGCCACTAGACCACTTGGGCCGCGACAGCTAGCCAGCTCTTCTGCAACGGGTCATATTAATTATATAATTGAATTTTAGATTCTCCCATCGACTGATTGAACCAAAGTGCTCGGTCTCAGGTTGACATGTCTGTGAATAACACTATCAAGGAACTTAGCCCTAAGTTCTTATTGTAACGAAGACTTAAGCGATTGAAGCGAAAAATACTATATAGGTCCTTCAACTTTAAATCCAAAACACCAGTATTCCTTGAACGAAATTATATTGTTTGGCAATTAAAGTGAAGGACCTATATAGTATTTATCGGTTCAATCGACCACGTCTTCATTACAATAGGAACTTAGGGCTAAGTTCCTTGACAGTTTTTATTCTTCTCTTCGTCTTCTTGGGCGCCTTCTGGAAATCTTCCGGGTGTACTTACTAGATCTGCAGCCAGCTTCTCTTTGGACAAGGATTATCAACGCAATTTAGATTCTTTGGTGACGTTGGATAATGCCTGAGTCAAGAAAGGGATGTGGCACCATGGAAGCAGACAAAAAAGTAAGTAACGATGAGTTGCCTGTTAATTGTAATGATATGTATGATGCTCAGCATGTTGAGTTTGATGTTCACGCTTCGCCGTTAAGTGATAGTAAGGGTTTAAGATTGCCTAAGTTTGAACCGCGATACTTCGATGGAAACCCAGCCGACTACCCACAGTTCATCAAAGAGTTTGAGGTCATGCTGAGTGGTTTTGTATTAAATGATGAAATGAAGTTAGTGTATTTATTGAGATATTGCACTGGTGTGGCGGCAAGAGCCATACATTGCTGTAAGTTTATGCCCCCGAACGAAGGATATGCTGAGGCAATGAAGATACTACGTCAAAGGTTTGGGAGACCATTTATGATATCCCGTAACGTCTTTGAGACTGTGAAAGGTAATGGATCACAACTAAGCGATAACTCAGAGGAACTCACAGAGTTCTTGGACAGCTTAATGGTATATAGAAATACTCTTGTGTCTCTTAATTGTGTGGAAGAATTGAATTCAAGTTCCGTGCTTGAGACTGTTGCCAAGAGATTACCGGACCGTCTGCAAAGAAAGTTCATAAAAGTTAGCTCCCGGCTAGAGGAAGATGGTATAGAGCCTGGATTCGAGGACATTGTGAGGCTAGTAAAAGACAGTGTCAATCAAGCCCTGGGCAAATTCGCCAGCATTCTACATTCTAAGGTAAAACCTAAGGAACCGGTGAATATAAAGAAGACATTTGTAGTGAAGGCCCAAGGTACAACGAGAAGGGATGAGTGTATTGTTTGCCATGATACGCATCAATTGAGTGATTGCACTCGCTTCATTGCTATGTCTCCCGTAGAAAGGTTAAAAATGGCAAAGCAGAAGAGGTTATGTTTCAGTTGTTTAAAGACAGGGCACACAAAGTTGAATTGTAAAGCGACAGACAAGGAGAGTGGTGGTTCAACCGATGTGCACCCACTTCTGAGGACAGTAAATGAACCGGGGAAGTCGGTTAATTGTAATAGCACCTTTAGCCCCCTTGATAACCCACAAGTTTACTTAGGAGTATTACCAGTTAAAATCAGAGGACCGAAATCTTCAGTGGATACTTACGCACTGTTAGATAATGGATCAGATGTCACGCTGTTGGATGCTCAGTTAGCCGGCCAGTTAGGCATTAAGGGTGTTAAAGAACCCTTAGTAATGAATACCTTTAATTCATCGGACAGATTAACATGCGAACGAGTCTCCTTTTGGTTAGACTCCTTGGTAACGGGAGAATCCATTATGGTCGCAACCGCGTATATCACCCCCAGCCTGAAACTTGGAGAAGCCAAAGTGCCAAATCGTGAAGTAGTTATTAATAAACCACATCTGTCTGATATAACGTTCCCAGCTCTGGGAGATAACAAGGTGAAATTACTTATTGGATGTAATGTACCTTCTGCTCATAAGGTACTAGAGGAAAGATATGGTGATAAAGAGGACTTATATGCCACTAAAACTCCTCTTGGGTGGACTATTCGAGGACCTGTGTCGAAGGCTCAAGCGTTGCCCTTGGTTACGGTCAACGAAGTGAGTATAGAACGCATGGTCCGGGATATGTATGATAAAGAGTTCCACGATAATAGTTCTAAGGAAAGAGGGCGGTCTGTTGAAGATAGGAAGGCAGCAAAATTGGTTAATGAAGCCTGTACGTTTGAGAATGGTCGATTTGTCGTGGGATTACCTTGGAGAACCGAGGATAAACAGACGGTCTGTAACAGAGAGATGGCAATGAGGAGACTTTTGAGCTTAAGAAGGAAGTTCCTAGCAAATGCAGATCTGTGGTCCAAGTATAAAGAGGTCATTGACAAGCACATAGTTAAAGGTTACGTGGAAAGATTGGTTAATCAGAATGAACCAGGGAAATGGTACCTGCCTCATCACCCGGTCTTTAACTCCAAGAAACCCAGCAAACTTCGCGTAGTCTTTGATTGTTCCGCGAAACACGAAGGTGTTTCCTTGAATGAAAGTTTGTACAGTGGCCCGGACTGCGTAGGATCGCTAGTAGGATTGCTGCTGAGATTCAGAATGTCTCCGGTCGCCATTGCAGCTGACATAGAAGAGATGTTTTTACAAGTAAAGGTGCCAGAACGTGATAGAGACCATTTGAGGTTCCTGTGGTTCGACGGTGATCCTCACAGTAGAATATCCGAATACAGGATAACTGTTCATCCGTTTGGTGCTACCTCGTCTCCGTTTTGTGCTAACTTCGCTCTTCGTAAAGCAGTGTCCATGTTTGGTCCTCCTGAACTTCTAGATGCCGTTGATTGTTGTTTCTATGTGGACGACTGCTTAGCATCCTTTGATGATATTGCATCTGCGATCAACTTTGCAGAGACCCTTAGTAATGTACTAGCCAAGGCTGGGTTTCGTTTGACAAAGTGGGTCTCAAACAGTTTGGAAGTCTTAAAGCAAATAAGTCCAGAAGAGAGAGCACCGGCGGTGAGAGATCTGTCCGTTGACACACTACCCATAGAACGCACCTTAGGTTTGCAATGGAATATCAACTCAGATACCTTTGAATTTAGTGTGGGAAACATTGATAAACCGGTCACCAGAAGAGGCATATTGTCCGTATTGTCCTCGGTTTTCGATCCACTTGGTCTAGTAGCACCTTATTTGCTTCCTGCGCGAAAACTATTTCAAGAGACTTGTAAAAGGGAGTTACGGTGGGATGATCCACTGAGTGAAGGAATTGCTGAAAATTGGGAGAAGTGGGTCAACAACCTACGATCATTAAGGCAGTATCCCATCGCCCGTCCACTGAAGCAATCGAGGTATTTTAAGATTGTGGATTTTCATGTATTCTCTGATGCCTCTGAAGTTGGTTATGGGGCTGCTGTGTACGTTAGAACTGCCTTTGGAGATAATAAGGATGTTCGCCTTGTGATGGGGAAGTCCAGAGTTGCACCCATAAAGGTTGTGTCAATACCAAGGTTGGAGTTGACAGCAGCATTGTTAGCAGTTCAGCTGTTTGCGACGGTGAGTACGGAACTGAACTGTCCCATCTGTCAAGTAACGTTTTGGACAGACTCCATGACAGTTATATATTACATACGAAACGATTCGGCTAGATATCATCGATTTGTAGCTAATCGGGTGTCACGAATTCGCGAAGCTACTCGAGTTGAACAGTGGAGATATGTACCATCTAAGGAAAATCCTGCTGATATAGCATCAAGAGGCGTGGCCGATATAAATGTGATTAAAAATAAGTGGTGGAGTGGTCCTGACTTCTTAAGACGAGCAGACTGCCTGTGGCCGAGTAAGAAGGAGGAACCACCGATATGTGAGGAGGACCTAGAGTTAAGTGTAAATGCCAAAGTGACATATACACAAACAAGGTATTCCGGCTTACATCCACTGTTTAATTGGTATTCCTCTTGGCACAAGTTAGTGAAAGCCGTCGCGTGGTTGACCCGGTATGTTTCATATTTGAAGGTTATGTATCTACGACGAAATGATATTCAGACTAAAGGACTTCTAACTGTTGAAGACTTGAACAATGCCGAAACAGCCATTGTGAAGGCTATTCAGTGGGAAGCATGGGGGGAAATCGCTAATGAAGATAGTTATGACTTCGCGAACTTCAAAGTACGAATGGACAGATTAAACCCCATAATCTTAGATGGCGTAGTTAGAGTCGGAGGACGCCTACAAATGCTCGAGGCACCATATGAGACCCTCCATCCAGCCTTATGGCCTAACGACCACCCAGTCACTACGCTTATAATAAGACATCACCACGAATTCGAGGGTCATCTGGGTACATCACAAGTATTGTCGAGCATCCGACGAAGGTATTGGATAGTTAAAGGTGGTGCGGCCGTGCGGAAAGTGATTAATAAGTGCGTGACTTGCAAACGTCAGAACGCTAGTACGGTTCAGCAGATGATGGCCCCACTTACAAAGTGGCAAGTGTCTGAAGGTAATTATCCGTTTGAGTATGTAGGAGTGGATTTGTTTGGACCGTTCATGGTGAGAAGAGGTAGAAGTTCGTGTAAGAGATATGGTTGCTTGTTTACCTGTTTGAAAATGAGGGCCGTGCACATCGAAATGGTCCATACGTTAACTACAGATTCGTTCATTCTGGCA